GGCGTCCAATCCCCACCACTGCTCAGTCCCTCCGACTGCTTCGCCCCGAGACTACCGCGGGTCCACCCCACGTCGTCACTCCGCCCGTCCTTGGGTCGTCGAGCCTGTTCGGCGCCGCGGACTTTCGCGCATAGCTCGCGCAGCATTGCAGGCGAGATCAAAGAGGAGGAGGGGAGAGGGTTGCGCAAATTTATAGCGAGGGAGGCGGCGGGTTGTCACCGCGAGGTGCGGGCAGCGCAGAAGAAAAGGTGGGGAGTAAGAGGGTTCGACCCGCGGGGTTGCATGGTCCTTTGTGATTGGGGTGCTCGTTCAAGTGGTGCGCGGTTTCCCGCTCTCCACATTGATCCGAGCATCCCAACTACGCAGCCAATCACTTCGCGGAAGAAGACGGGGTAAGGATCAAGCTGGGTGTAGGGGAAGACGAAGAGTCCGGCTTGAGGGAAACACGCGCAGCAAGGAAGGAAGATGGCGCGGGGATGCAAAGCAAGAAGCGGGGGTGCGAGACGCGCGAAGAAATCGGAGCTTAGGTGTGCGCGCACAAAAATTTAAAAAGTCCCAACCGAAACCGTTTCTTGGTTTTCATACCGCGGCCGCTATTCGCCCGCGCGGGAGTTATCAACCAAAAAAATGAAAAAGTCGTTTCAAAAAGAAAAAAAAAGCAAAAAGAAAGAATAACCCCTCTTTGTCCGCGTCCGTACTTCGGGGCTTCCGCGGGATTTTTCCTCAGGGATATGGCAAGCCGGGCGGTACGGGGCTGAGCTTATCACATGCTCGCGTGGGACCCTCTGTTTCCTTTAGAGTATTATTATTAGAGATAAAAAGGCCTCAAAGGCCGTCCTGTCCAGATTCAAGAGGTAATTGAATTGGTTGCGCTTAAAAGAATTAGCCTTATTAAAAAAAAAAACTGAGGGTGAGGGGACACCCGTTTCTATTTTTTTTGGGTTTTTAAAAGGGCGGTGGCCATGAGACATTATATCATGAATACCTTTCTCTTCCGTTTGGCTAAGATAAAGTGTAGGGGCGTGATTAGACACTCCTCGGCGACGCAAAATCCCCAAGGAATTGTTCGTTCCACCTATCCTCAGGGACACAATCGGAACAAAAGAGTGAAAACACTTGTAAGGAATTTCCTCGAGCAATAGGAATTTGCCCAGCCATTTCTTCCTATTGCCCAAGAGACCTCACGAGGTCCCCTTGGGCACAAGGAATCGGCGTTTCACGGAGAGGAGAGGACACACGGGTAGATAGACGTCACAGTCGAGAATCTGGATCGTGGCGGCACCCTATTGGCTGAAGGCCTGAAGCACAACTGTTTTTTTCTTTTCTCTTCTTTTTTCTGACATCGCTCTTAGGAATCTTTCCTATTGCCAGAGGAGTTCAATAGGAATGTCTAATGACATCCTGGTATCTGTTCTGATGAGTTCAATATCCTCTTTCATTTTTTTCTTTTCGAAGCTGCCTTCTCCTCATCGGGGGCTCGGTCCCACCTGCGCATTTTCGCTGTAGGAGGCTACCACGAAGAGAATGGTGGGCGCCTAACGGCGATGGATTGACACCATTGATGGTCCCTAGACGCCTGGCAGTCGCTTCCTCGTAGCCTCCTACACCGGAAAGGTGCAAGTGGGACTGAGCCCCGGGGGACCCCTGCAAGCATAGCTTTCTACCTCTCTGATCCGTGGTCCATCGGAGCACATTAAAAAAACATAAAAAATTATATCACCGGAATAAGCAGCAGTTATTCTGCCTAATCTGACAGGGTGCCCTTCTCATCCCAGGATGGCTTTAGTACCTTCATGGAAACCCTCACAGCGGTATACTCATGCCAGAGAGTAATGGGCAGCACCCAATCCCACAGGGGTCAGACAGTAGCACCGGCCAGGGGTCGGCCGACTAGTAGGGGGGTCACACTGGTCAGGGGGCGGGCGGTAGAGGAACAGAGCATCATCTGAGTGGCCAGTCGCTGTAGACACCTGTCTGAAAAAAATAAAAAGGGGATAGAGGGTCTCGCGTATCCGTGGCTAGCGAGATTGGAGTACCAAGCCGGGCCCAGGGCAGCATGATTTCCTCCCCCTGGTTTTGGGAATGATCCCCTATTCCCGTTGCACCTGGTTTTTGGGCTGATTCATAATTCCCTCTATCCCTGAGTGGCCAGTCGCTGTCGACACCCGTCTAAAAATAATATGAAGGGGATAGACTAACAGTGGCTAGCGAGATCGAGTTCCAAGCTGGCACGATTCCCCATTCCCGGTGCGCCTGGTTTTGGGGCAGATTCAAGCTGGCACGATTCCCCATTCCCGGTGCGTTCCTGGTTCTGCAGAGACTCCCAGTTTTCCCAGCAGAAAAGGAAATTGAAGCGTCAACTGCTTCAGGGAAATTTGGGTACGGCCATGGGGCATTCTGCAACGTAACTGACAATGCTGAAATGTCATAATCCTCCTGATGCTATTGACCCAAGAAAATGGAGGGAACATGAATCCTCCTCCGAAAATGTGCCCTGGAAACATTCGGGTACCCCCTCCGGAGAGACACCTCAAGCCTGGGAAGCATAGGATGGCCCTATGCAGAGGTGGCCATGGCAACGTTGTCACAATCACAGACCCTGCACTCAGCCGACCTCAGCCCGATCCCGCCTAGCCCATCTGCACCAACGACGCTCCCTCCAGAACCCCCTCCCCTCCCCCTGCCACCCTTTCAGTCTAGCCTCCCTTCCGGAACCGCCCCTGCCCATGCGACCCCCCTCCCAGCCTTCCCCCCTCCCTGCCGACCCCCTCTTCCGTTTGCAACCCCGCCCCGCATGCCTCCCCTCCCGACCAGCCCACCTCCCTGACTGAGGGAAGGGCCTACACATCAACTAGGTAGTCCAAGAGGACTAAAGATGTCAGGCAGAAGTAACTCTCATCAAAGTCTATGATTTCTCAAGGCAAGATTGTTCGAGGAGCGGCTGTGAAACATACAAGGGGACAGCAACACCCACAAAGCTCCATGGGCCCCTTCACCAGGTTAGACCCTTTTTTCACTAGAGACACCAAGCCTTTCGTCCAAGAATCCCCACAAGCACGTTTGCCAGCCATTTTCTCCAAACCTGGCTGTCTACTACACGCGGCGTTCGGCCGGATGCACAGGCTTCTGATTTTGCCTGGAAAACATCCACAGGGTTTGGCCGACGCTTCCGGCAGTCGTGTAGACAGCCGGGTCGGAGAAAAGTGGCTGGTAAACATACTAACACACAACGGGCTGCCCCGACATGTACACTCTCACATCCTACACATACACATACACTCAAGGACAGCAACACACAGTTCCCACTAACAAAACCAAAAGCAATCAAGATGAACACGAACACATTTTCATACACCTTCACAAACGCATACAAATACAATTACAGTAAACAACAGCAACACACAATGCCCATCAACAACAAGAGCATCAATCAAAAGAACAAGAACAGGAAGAGCACGACCACCAACAAGACCGGAGTAAGAATCTGTGTCTCTCCCTTATCCTCTGTCTATCCAACTGCCTGTCTAGTCTATCCAAACTCTCTCTCCTTGTCCTCTCTATGCATCTCTCTCTCTCTCTCTCTCTCTCTCTCTCACACACACACACACACACACACACACACACACACACACACA